AAAGTAAATAATATTGGCAGCCATAGTTTTTAAACCCGGCCCGGTGATCGACTCGGGCAGGTCCTCGGGTCACCGGGTCAATTGTTGAATCGGATAATTAATTTAAAAATTTTTAAAATTATATATAGAGTATTTTTGTTATATAAATATACATAAAAGTAACAAATTAAATGTTTTGTGTATAAAATTTGTATATTAAAGTGTTAATAATATGTATTTCATGATAAATATTTACCATATAAACATATATACATATTTTTATTTTTAAAATTCAAAAAAAAAATAAAAAAAATATAAAAAATATATATGGACCGGGTCAACCGGGTTGACCCGGCCGGGTCAATGCCCCGGGTCGGCCGGGTTTTGACCGGGTCCGTGGTTGCCCGGTCCAAATACTCCACCCGGACTGGTTCCGGCTCCGGGTCCCGGATCGACCCGCCGGGCCGGTCCGGGTCTCAAAACACTGTTGGCAGAGGCTTTTTCCCATTTTGTAGTCGTCTTCCCTTACATATGATGATGTGTCCTGTTGAAAAGCCTTCCTAGATGCAAACAGTGGGGTTAATGATGTTATCGCCATGTCATCATAACATGGCCTACAAAATAGTCTACCGGAGGAAATAATATAGAGACGGTGTCTATGGCATCTAATTTTTATCTGTCAACAGTTTCCACTGGAGATGCTCTAAGGCCTGAGTGTCACTGCACCCTTAGACCGATACTTGATGGTTACACGCACCCAACTATTTACACTCACTTGTTTAGTTGAGCCAAGACATTCGATCATCACAAGGTTTGTTTTACCCATGGGAAGTTACCTTAATGAACTAAAAACTAAGTTCCCAAATCTCTCATCATAACTAGGAAGGCTAGAATTATTTTATCGAGCTGTGTCATGTCATGGCACCGTGCCACGGAGTAACTAACTAATGGTATGTTGTGAGAAAGGGGCCATTGAACTAATCTCATTGGTATATTGCAACTGAACATCTTCCTAGAGTAACACCAAACTCATGGCTTCATGACCCAACGGGAATGTATTAGATTACTTCACTCAGTCGGTTGATAATGGTTGTGCAGTAAGGAACTGATCAAGACTTCTCACGATGTGTGGTTCACTCAGTGTTTTAAAACGCGTATAGCGTAATGCGTCGTGTTTTGGTTTTTATACAATGTAGTGTAAATAGCGTTGCGTGTTGCGTAAGCTATTTGATTACAATTATATATATATATATATATATATATATATATATATATATATTTGGATGGTAGATTCTAAAAACTATCATATAACATCTAAGAATTATTTCTTACAAATGTTTAATGTAAATATCATAATATAAATATATAAATACTAAAGCGAATATGCTAAAAAGTAAAAACAGACAACGAAAGTATAATAAGATAAGGCATAATTTAATTTTAATTATATACATTGTAATTAAATTTTTAATTTAATTATAAATTCATTCTAACCACTAGATCTGAACTTTTTATTCTTTAATTTAAATGTCAAATACCCAAAAATAAAATAATATAATACATTAGACAGATATATATGGCACTATTCAACTTAAGACTTTGCATTTTTAAATTTTTAATTTGAAATTCATATCAAAATTTTTAATTTCTAGTCGTCATTTGAAAATGTAATTCTAATCCCTAAAAAATACAAGTTTTTTAATATTTTATTGTTTAAATGTCGTTACAGAAATATACTGCAAAATAGCGTGAAATAGTGCAAAATAGCATAAGAAAGCGTGTTATTTTAGCATTTTGCATAAACTTTTCGAGAAAAACGCTAAATATATAAAACTACATCGCATTTTTTGAAAAAAAAAAAGAAAAAGA